AATTGGATTTACTTTTGTGGAAATAATAAGAGAATGCTGGTAGAGTGGGAAGTGAAAGCCTAATGGGAGTGTATTCAGGACAAACGGGAGGAGAGCGCTTGGAATCAGAAACAAGCAATGGTAAAGGCGCACAAGAAACCAGCTGCGTGAGCCTACTGCAGAGTATTTGTTGAAGCTGTTCCAAGGACAGTGCACAGCTCTCCTAATAGTTAAGTCGTTAGTAAACATAGATACCCCTTACACCAGTGATTCTCAACCCTAATAGAATTATTTAAAGAGCTTTGAAAACATGCCCAGACCCCATTCCCAAACCAAAAAACCACACGCACTGCCACCAAGTCGATTCCAACTCACAGTGATCCCCGTTGGCTTTCCAAGGCTGTAAGTCATTACAGAAACGGACTGCCTCATCTTTCTTCTGCAGCTGGCAAGTTCGAACCACTCACCTTTTGGTTAACAACCAAATGCCCTAACCACTACACCACCAGGGCCCCGCCCCCAGATTAGCTTATTTCCTTGAGAAAGGAGCCTGGAATTGTTCATATGTGAGAAGTTTTGTTTTGTTGTTAGTTTTCCTTTAGTGACTCGAATGTCCAGTTTAAAGCCCGCTCATTGCCTTAGACACAAAATATAAGTGCACAATAACTGCCAATCGTGTCCAGAATTATGTGGCATTTTCTATGTTGGAGAATTTATAGTGATGACACATATTTGATGAAAAATGAGTCATCTGTATTGTGGTGAAGTCTTCTGCCAGTGTTTTGGAGACTGAGAAGGTTCAATCCCTCAAGAAGGAAATCAGCACAAGATAATAAGAACGACCATAACACTGTCTATAAGGAACAACATACCAGTTTGATTATTTTACGGGTGAAGTGTTAATCTCACTGGAAAAAAAAAGAGACAAACCAAGGCTACTGCCATCAATTTCAACACATAGCGACCTTACAGGACAGAATAGAACTGTCCCATAGTGTTCCCGATGCTATAAATCTCTACAGAAGCAAACTGTCACATCTTTCTCCCAAAAAACAGCTGGTGGATTCAAACCGCCAACCTTTTGGTTAGCAGCCTAGCACTTAACCACTGTGCCACCAAGGCTCCTTTCATAGGAGTAATTTCACTGAGACTCCATTTTCCCAAAGAAAAACTTTTTGTTAATTGGAAGTGTTGAAATAGAATAAAATTTTAAACTTTGAGATCCACGTTTTTTACTTTAAGACTGTTAGCATCTTTGAGTCAGTGGGTAGCACAAACAGTTAAGTGCTCGACTACTAGCCAGAAGGTTGGCAGATCAAACCCACTCAGAGGTGCCTCAGAAGAAAAGCCTGGCAATCTGCTTCCAAAAAAGTCAAAGTTACAGTCTTGAAAACCCAATGGAGAAGGTCCACCCTGCACGCGTGGAACATCATGAGCTGCAACAGACTCAGTGGTAGCCAACAAGAAGCATCTTTAAAACCAGGAAATGTGTGTGGTAACTAAAGCTCCGTGAGTTAATGCTGCTGCAGTTCAGTTATCTACTTCCTGTACTGGAACTTGTGAAAAAATGAAATATCTGGCATGTTTCAGCACGAAACATTTAGCAAGTCAGTGAGTTGTTGTTGAACCTCATTTCAGGTGGGTTGTAGGTAAAATGGTGTCAACCGCAAGGAGCTCTGGTAGCGTAGTGCCTAAGGCACCTGACTGCTAAACAGAAGGCTGGAGGTTCAAATCCATCAGCCACTCCTCAGAAGGAAGGTTGGTCAATCTACTTCTGTAGTGATACTGCCTTGGAAACCCAAGGAGGGGTCGCTGTGAGTCAGGGGGCCTACTCGACAGCACATAACAACAAACTACTATGGTATTTAGGTCTGCTTCCTTCTTTCTAGAAGCAAACACCATTTAATAGTCACAAGCCCTGAGACACCTGCCCGTTCCCCTAAGGTACCTGAAGTACTGTCTTTGCCATTTACTGGGTACCTAATTCTGTGTTCCTGCTTCATGTATGTATTGTATGGAAGTAAATGATAATCTGCTATAATGCACAGGTGGTCTATCCACTGATTGTGTCCTTCTCCTCCTCAATCTAAGAGGTCTAGGAGGCCATAGACTGTATGAGTTTCACCTTCTTGTTTACCCAAGGAGAGCTTCTGAACTCTTTAATAGCCGTAGACAAAATAAGAATTATCCACAACTTGGATAATTAATTCCTAAATAATCAAAAAGTAGATTAACCCCATAATCTGAAACTCGGTAATCACATCTGGAAACACTGCATTAATCCTACAGTAATTATTTCAGTATTTTCACTGTCAAGGCAATGTCACCTTGAAAGATAGAGATGGACTCGACATTCGCTTACCAAATCTCCAAATACTAGAATTTGAAGTATAAATGATCATCTACTCAAAGAAAAAGGAGTGCTTACTACTTTATAAGTAGCAAACTCACAAATCTTGCATTATGTCAAGCATTTATAATTGTTGTTGTTGGTGTGTGTCGTCGAGTTGGACCCGACTCATAGCAACCCCTCCTTGGGTTTCCGAGGCAGCATCACTACGGAAATAGATTGCCCCATCATTTCCAAACTATGACTCCCTCGAGACTAATAAAACACAGGCAGGTACTAGTTTTCCTTCTCCTTCTTGAGAAGCAGTAGCGTGGAATGATAAAGAGAGAAGGCTCTGAAGCAGAACAGCCTCGGTTTGGATCTGGGCTCTCCTAGTGATACGATCAAGTTGTTAATCCTCCTGTGCTTCAGGTTTCCTCATTTTTGCTTTCAGTCAAATGGCCTGGTTCCAATGGCTGCTTCATCTGATGCTTGTGGAGAATCAATGTAAAACATTCAGAAAACAGCACCTGCCTCACACATACTCCGAAAACCTAAGCAATTATCCGACCCTCACCTAACCCCAGGGATTACAAACTGCTGCTGGCTTGGAAATCCTATACATTGTATCAAAAGATCTCATTTCAGTAAGCAGACCTTTGGAAGTACTAAGGGAGATACAGATTCACTGAAGGATCCCTTTGTACTGAGTTTGAGTTAAAACCGTATCTGCTTTGTCTTTCAATAAAACCTTGCCCCTGGGTGGTTCAGCCTTCCGTTTTAGTCAAATCAGATGTAATGTTAAGGTTGAAGGAGCTCTCATGGGCTAGTGGTAAGACAGTGGCTGCTAACCAGGTCAGTGGTTCAAACCCACCAGCCTCTTTGTGAGGGGAAGATGAGGCAATCTACTTCCATAGATTTATAGCTGTGGAAACCCAATGGGGGTCGCTGAGTCAGAATCAATCCGATGGGCAGTGGGTTTGGTTTTAGTTAAGGCTGAAGTTGGCCAGAAAATTTTCAGACTTTCAGTACTTCATACACAAACTGAGAAAGACCTTGGTAATACTGCCATTTCTGTCCTTTAGCAAAGTTGGGCACACAGTACCCAGAACTGAACATTTGTCATTTGTGAGAAGCACCATGACTCAGTGGGTAAGAACAAAGGTGTCAGAATGCCTGGTTATAACTCTGGCTCTGCTACTTACTGTTCAACTTCGAGCAAGTTACTAAACTTCTTTGCCTCAGTTTCCTTTTCTATAAAACCTGGGTAATTATTGCTATCTCCAAGGGTTCAACGAGATGGACTGACACAGTGGCTGCAACAGTGGGCTCCAGCATAGCAGTGACTGTGAGGATGGTACGGAACCAGGCCGCGTTTCCTTCTGTTGTACATAGGGTAGCTGTGAGTCAGAACCTACTTGATGGCTCCTAATTACCACCACCACCAAAGGCTACTGTGAGGATTAATTTTGTAAAGATCTCAGAATAGGGCCTAACGCAACAGAGTAGGCACCAAAAAGCGTAGTTACAATTATTATTACAATCTATAAGCATAACACCTCTCCCCTGTATTAATGACGTAACTTTATTAAAAATGTATCTCAATCTCATCCAGAAAAAAAAGAAATTCCTAAAGTCTAAGCTTCCTTTTTTAGTTACCTGTGCTGGTACTGGACAAGAGGTGGTGTGAATACGGTCCTGCTCAGGACCAGGATCACACCCTCGCTGACTGACCTACTGCCTGAGGACTTCATCTTTCTAAACTGTGTTGTATGTTAGCAGTTCAACAACTCAACCCTGACCTTGGGCCAGAGAAAAAAGAAAATACCAAAGGGCCAATGACTGGCTAGTATCTTAAGAGGGATGTTAAGCATGTGAAAGAGCCCTGTGGCACAATGGTGGAGAGCTCGCCTGGCTTCTTACCCATCCAGCAATTCCAGCCTGGAATTCATAAGCACCAAACCCACAGCCAGTGGGATCTGACTTATAGTGCCGACCTCCTTGGGTTTCCGAGGCAGTATCACTATGGAAGTAGACTGCCCAACCTTCCTTCCGAGGAGTGACCCGTGGGTTTGAACGCTTCTGGTTAACAGTCAAATGCCTTAGGCACTACGCCACCAGAGCTCCTAAACCCTATGAGGTGTTTCTATTTTGTCACTGTGAGCTGAAATCCACTGGAAGGCACCTAACAACACAGCATCTGACAGGGACTAGACTAAATCACCTCTGAGATTTTCAGTGAACAACCGTGTTCTCATCTGCCACATGGAAGCTGTTTCTAGACTTTCAAACAGTTAGTCTCAGTCCGTTTTAAAAAACAGAACAGAAATGACTTAGCTACCCTCTACCAGGAGCTCTGGTAGCATAGTGGCTAAGACACTTGCCTGCTAACCAGACGGCTGGCGGTTCAAACCCACCAGCCACTCCTCGGAAGGAAGGTTGG